ATTATTATTATTATTTATTTTTTTTTGGGGGGTGATCTGATTATCTGCAGTGGCAAATTCCCTCTTAAAATTCCCTCCTCTTTTTTTTTTTCCCTCATCAAATCTCCCCTCATCAATCTGCACGATTTTACTATTGCACACCCTTATCTCAAAATTCGTAGTTATCTCTCCCTCACGATTTCACTCTTGATTGTAGGGTTTGTGCCGTTTGCTGCTGTTGTGTGAGACGATCGGTGCTTCAATGTGCCCCTACAAGTTTGTCCCTTTTTTGCTTTCACTACAACAAAACTGGATTTTTACGGCTTTACATTAACGACATACAATAAATGTAAGTTGTAATTTCTCACTTTTACGACTTGTTTTTTTTGTATGTCGTAAATAATTTTCCAATCATGACATGTTTATTGCGTAAGTCGTAAATATTAATAACAATGATTTTTTTACAACTTGCAATGTTAGCCGTAAATAATAAAACTTTCTATGATGTGCATATGGCATGTCATTAATACATCAATTATACACGATACATATATGCCAATTGTTAAAAGTATTACACTTTTTACGCCGTACAAAACACTTGCCGTTAAAATATTACACTTTTTACGACGCATAATTTATATCGTTAATGGAATGATCAAAAAAAAATAAGCGTCAAAATAAAATTTCTGGCGCCAATTACCAAATATATATATTAGAATTTTTTTTTCCAAAATAACTCTTGATCTAGTTCCTCTAATCAGAAAGGAACATAGCAAGGGTTTCAATCTCTCTCTCTCTGATGATGAGGCTGAATCAATTGTTGAGGGTTACCAGGATCATCTCATCTCTTCTCTTCGGTTGTATCTGAAATCAAAGGTATCTATCGTTGTCTCGTTCTTCTCTTCTCTTATCTATTGCGTATCTGAGTTCGGTTGCTTCCTCAAGGTGTTCCATTCGAAGGAAGAATATAGAAAATTGTTCAAAGGAAGGTGGACAGGTGTCATAACCATAGTTCTCAACAATTCCAAGTTCGTAGTCACCTTCTAGAACCGTCCCGACGAGATCGAGTTTGGGTTTTCGGAGTTGTAAGTTCACCGGGAGTGGGTCAACGGCAAATGGGTCTAACCCGAAAAGCAGGTATGGATTTAGGGTCTTGCTTTCTAGTGTTTCGGGGGTTTATGATATGCCCTTTGATTTCGGCTAGTATATGATGCTAGGATTTGATTTCTAGGGTTTTTGACAGTGAGGAATTTGATGAAATATCTTGATTTCTAGGGTTTTTAACTGTGAGGAATTTGATCAAATCTAACGTTATTGTCAATGTTTGTTTAATTTTGTTTTATTATTAGTGATTTTGATTTGTTTGATTATATATATATATATATATACATTTGTGAATTTCCTTTCTTATTGGACATCATTAGTGTAAACTATCTTTTTCTTCTTCTTCTTTTGCAGATCGATATGGTACTTTAACTGGTTCTCGTAAGGGCGAGGTACTTATTTTTGCTGATTAATATGCTTTGGATTGCAATTCCAGGTTGTTTCCTTATTCATTGTGTGGAAAACATTGAATGTATGGGTTGATTTCTAGTCTCTCTAATTCATTCTCTTCTCCATTCTTTATGATTTCAGTGCAATATACAATGCAAATAAACTATTTTGGATTTTTTCTTTAATGTGATTGCTCTAGCACACCACCTCAATAATGTCAACATACTACGTAACTAAACCCTTTTTGCAATATTCCCTTCTTTGCCTCTTTGTTGTATTTGTTTGAACTTGGTGGTGTGTCTATGTCACCTACCGAAGCCTATGCTTATTTTTCTTCCATTCTCTTGTTTCAAGAAAGTTTCAAGGCAAGAGTATTTGAAGAAAATGGAGCAAAAGAAACTGAAGGAGCTTAGGTATGATAGGATGTCACATCTTAGTTTTATATTCTTTATGTTTTAGTTTCTGTTCTACTTGTAGATGTGTTTATATAGACAGTGGTGATTGTAACTTGTAAAACTTTCATAAAAAAGATTTTGTCTTATGATTTTTTTTATCGGTTTTAATTTTGCATCCATGTCTTGGTAATTTCAGAGATGATATAGAAGACGAGCAGTATCTATTTGATGGTGTAAAATTGACTGAGGCAGAATATGGTGAACTAAGGTAATTAGATTGTGTTTTTGGATATACTTCTTCACATTCTCCACAATTAGTTGGACTTACTCTTGTTCTCATTGATGTCTTGGTTACTATGACATGTTATGAATAATTGATTTGTTTTATGGAAGTTGTCCCCTGTCCAGCCCCCCTTTTGAAATGAAACAAAGATATGTATAAGTAATTGCCTTTTTATGGATAAAAATGACTTCTTTCTTTGTTTTTGTTGTAAGTGAATCTGTGCTTGTGTTAAGGAATGACAATAATTTCTCCTAAAGTGAGTTTGTGCTGGCTTTTTGAATTTCTTGTGGTGATTAGATATGTCCTTGAATCCGTAAAGACAATATGTGCATCATTGGGAAATAAAAGGCATTTAATGACTAGTTTTTAGCACTCCAAGTTTTTGGTTGTTCCATTGTTGGTTAGGCTTTTGGCTCAGCGTAAGTATGTGATTTATTTGCCAATGCTGCTACTTATCTCCTTAATTAAATTTTCTTACTAGAGTCCTGGTTTGATTACTGCTATTATCCCTAGCAAGGTATATTTTATTGTGTGTGAAATTGCTATTTTATTGATCAATAATAAACTTATCATGGTTTTTACATTATGACATATATAAGAAAAGAAATATATGAGTTTGTTAGAAAGTTGTGACACGGGAGTTGAGTTGCTGCTGATTTTGTTGTTCTGTTTTCTTCCTTTCTTTTTCTAGTTGCTCTTAATTGGTTCCCATCAGAGAGGTGCAGTTGTAGCTGTTGTTTACTCACTGGTTTTGGTGCTTGTAAAGAGGTGCTACTACTGCTGTATTGTTGCCGCTACTGGTAAACTGCTGATGTATGGTTTGGTGCTGCTAAACTGCTTATTTTTCAATTGTTCCTTTTCTTCTAGTGTGCTGGGCCCCTCCGTTACATAAATGTAATATGCATTGGCAGGCTATGAACTGGGGCAGTTGTGTGGACTGGTTATCTGAGCAATTCTCTGGTCATTCTCTGACCACTAATGCTAAGAAATTAATGCTTACTTGTACTACTTACTGTATCTGGCAGGAGAGAAATGCTAGGATCTTCTCATCTGTTTGTACTCCTGCTAATGTGGTTGTGAGAAAAGTTGAATCTCTGGTTAGGTGCAGGCTCTTATCTGTTAACAACTTCAAGGAAGATGGGGATAATGATTGGTTTATGGACTCATGGCATTCTCCTCATATAGTGTTGAGGGCACATGCTCTTTGAGTTGTTTTTACTCTTACTTCCAGTGTCTATATATATTGTTGTGTGTTTGGATCTTCCTCTTGCAGGTCTCCTAGATCAGTCCTTTGGAGCTGCCTCATTTTCCCCTTTGTAATCAGGACTTTGCTGGTACTTACTTAGGGATGTTGTGGGTTGAGTGATTGTGAGCCTCCACAGTTAGTATTGTGATGGAGATTATTGAGAGTGAGTGTTGAGAGCCTATATATGAGTGTTGTGTAATGTGAGACATCCATAATCCTATTATCTTGCTCATTATTTTCTTTGCAGGTTGTCAATGCTGGTCTCTTGTAGGGAGAAGGGTTGAGATGGTGGGGCTCTATAGCTAGGTTTTTGTGGGTTGAGTGATGGTGAGCCATATAGTTTATCTAATTCTTTTCTGCAGGTTGTCAAGCTGGTCCTAATTGTAAGGGAGTTTTTTTTTGTTGAGGGTTGAGTGATTGGTTAGCCCCAATAAATTTTTTTGGAGTGCTGTGTGTTGCATCTTGAGGGTTGAGTGATTGAGGACTATTTGTTTCTGTGGGTCTACTCTACCCAGTCTTGCTGTCTATTTGTAATGAATATTTGTCAGTGTGTCCTTGCTGAGTTGTTACACATAGGTTATTGTATCTGTTCAACCCCCCCATAGGTCTGTAATATGTGGTAGTTCAAGTTTACATCTGCATTTGTCTTGGGGTTGGTCTTGGCAGAAGCTTGTTGTGATAGACTATGTTGCTATTGGTTGCTGTTCTGCTGGCTGTGGTATATGCTGAATTGCTGCTGTTGAGTTGAAATTTGTGTAGTCCATGTGTAGATACTGCCCATGGATGGGTGTATATGGTTCTCTGCTAGTTGTTGAGTCTGTGGCTCCACTTGTGTGGCTTTGCTGGTGCTACTGTCTGTTGTCTGCTGTTTGCTGTCTGCTGTCATGCTAACTGTGGTCTTAGCTGTGTTTGTGGTTCATGCTGCCATGATGTTGCTACTATATTTCCTTCCCTGTAGCAGTGTTGTTTTCTTTATAGTGCATGCTCTGGTGCTGTCTGCACTAAACGGTCGAGTTCGGAGATCCTGAGACAAGGCGCGCGAGCCGAGACCTCCGGGAACTCCAAACGAACACAAACATGGATAATCACCGAGTGTTCAAACGGTGACGTCCAAGTCTTGAGGACGGTCAAAAATGGGGTGATTGGGCTCTGTTTTTTGCTGATCCTAATGGACTTAGTTTGCATTTTTGTGTTGTTTTCCTTTCTTGTTTCCGTCTTTTGTGTCAGTTTTTGTTTGTTTGATGACAATGTTGTCTGGCTAAAGAGCCTTTCGTTTTTTTCTCCGTGTCTGTTGTTAGTTTTGTGGTGCCTGAGGGATGCCTCTTGTAAACCTGTATATGTTATTGTTTTTAATTTATAACTTACTTACCTAAAAAAAAAAGAAAGAAAGAAAACCCACAGTTTTTGTAACGCCCTCAAAATAATAACAATAAACCCACCAGATAAGACATGCATTTACATTTAAACTAACCTAGTAACCCTTAGATTTATTTTATATTTTTATATTTTTGGCCTTTTTGATTCAGGGATCCACAATTGCTGATCTTTCAGTCTCTATTACACAGGTTGAGAATTACCAGCTGCCTCCTGATGCTCCTCCCTTAACCCCTGTAAGTACCACGGCTGTTAAAAATAATACTTTGGTATCTGTTTTATAATACTGTTCTATCTATTCATTCTGAAAATTTATAGATAATGCGAATGTAAAAAAAGTTGGATGGGCTAATGACAGGTAAATTGGTCATGGACCTACTCACCTGATCCTGAGGCCCACATTGTAGTTTTTTGGAAACCTTAGTCGCTTTACTCCTAGAAGGATATAAAACCAAAGAAAATTATCAGTGAACAAGAAAAAATAATAATGATGGTGATAATAACAATAAAATAAATAACTCTAAAAGAGAGAAATGAATGACATAGGAAAACTTCTTGATGATCAAGGTGTGATATGGTGGTAATTGTTTAAGACTGAAAACTCCCCTCCTTGGGCTATGTTTGCTTGAAGGATTTGTAGAGAGAAAGGAAGGAAAAATAAATAAAATAGAAATTGTATTTTTGTCACATTTCCCTTTTTTTTCCTTTCCCACCACTAATCCCCACTCAAATCCTAGTCCCAAACACAATCTTAATGTCACAGGTTTGCTAGTTGTTATTCATGTCTTGATGGTCAAAACCTGCTGATTGTAGCAGCAAGCAGAAATAGGTCAAACCCTCTGATGTTTTAATCAGTGAAGAAAACAAACTAGAAAACTTTGAAAGTGATTATATATTTGAAACCAGGTGAACTTATAAGGGGGACACACATGTCCATTACTTGGAAAGACATGAAACACATTATAATTTTGAACAAAATAGCTTCGAGGATATATTAATAAAAGAAAAAATAATATAGATTTATACTATTAATCTCTCTTCCTTTAAACATAGGAATTAATGTTATTGTATTTTTTGTACCAAACTTAGTTTGTAGGTTTTGGTTTTAGTGACAGCCTAGCAACTTCATATATTTGGTATAATTTAAGTCTGTCGGTTTTGGTATTTTTGCTGCTAAGGCAACGGAGATTATCTAATATATATATATATATATATGTGGAAGAGTAACTGTGACAGTGGTCAATATGAAAAGGATAGGGAAGAAAATAAAAACTCTGTTAGTATTGGATTACAAATATATAACTAGCTTACTCTTAATGAACGTAGGAATTAGTGTTATATTGTATTTTTTGTACCAAACTTAGTTTGTAGTTTTTGGTTTTAGTGACAGCCTAGCAACTTCATATATTTGGGTATACTTTAAGTCTGTATGGTTTCAACTTTTTGCTGCCAAGGCAACGGAGATTATCTAATATATATATATATATATGTGGAAGAGTAACTGTGACAGTGGTCATTATGAAAAGGATAGTGAAGAAAATAAAAACTCTGTTAGTATTGGAATACAAATATATATCTAGCTTACTCTTAATGGTATTGGGGAAGAGCGAGTCACTAAGTGGTGGTGGTCCTGGGTGGAATAGATAGGAGCTAAAAGGGCGAGGTTTGAACATCCAAACTAAAATAAGAGTGTTGGGGTAAATACCATTTGGCTAAAAAGCCCTTGGCTAGGAGTAAACAATTGAGTAGTGAGGTAGAAATTAACTTATATTCTCATAGAAAACTGCAAAGAAAACTCAACAACTTATATTCTCATAGGCATTTTCATTTCAATAGAAATTAACTTCAAATTCTTGATGCTTGCACTTCCAATAGTCTACATGGAAATTCAGTGTTAACTCCTTCAGTGTTAAAAAGAAAATCCTTATTAAAGTTATTAAGAAGTCTTGACTGATAATGCTCTTGAGATTTCATATACACATAAGCTAGAATGTTCTATCCATTAAAGCTTTATTTCAATTTATTTGGAAGTTGCAATATGAATCTGTTACGTATTGATCTAATTGATGTTATTTAAGTTATGAGAGGCATCATATGTTTCTGTACCTTGCATATTACATAAATTAAAAAATAGATAGGGTCTGTGGGTATGGGAAACCAAAGGTTTTTATTTTATTTTATTTTTTACCAGATGATGGTAAAAATGTTTTGGCCAGTACTTGTGCTTGCATATCTATTAACTCTCTCTCTCACACACACACACACACACACACACACACAGAGACTTCTACCAGATCAATAAAAAAGCTAATGGACTTTGTTTTAAATTTGTCATTGATCAATACAGATTGCTACCAGATCCTCCTTTTTGCTGGTGGTTGATGGTTGTTGGTTGGTTGATGGTTGGGTCAAAAGTGCAAGTGCTTCTGTTCTTTCATATGTACCAACAAGAGATGGAGAAAAGGATAGACTAGGGTACTGTTGAAAGATTATGACAGTGGGATGAACAATTGGAATTAACCCAGCTGATAAGTACCAACAAGAGATGGGGAAAAGGATAGACCAGGGTACTGTTGAAAGATTATGACAGTGGGATGAACAATTGGAATTAACCCAGCTGATAAGGTCGACCGAGAAAGAGTCTAGAACAGAACTAGGGATGTCCAAAGCCTCCCGGAATTTTTTAGCTTCCAAGCCTTCCATATGTCCTTGTTTTTATCTATTTGTTATTGGAAATAGTTTATAGATTTAACGGTGTTTTGCTGAAGACCAAAGAATCTGATGTAAATAGAAATTGTGACAGGTACGAAAAATCGGGTAATGAGCAGTTTGTGACTGAACTTAGCAAATGGGTCTTCCATGAAAGGGGTCATCTGGAGGTGAGGAACAAACTTGCCTGATATCTGGTTATCTTTGTATCTGATTACGACTGTATATTTTATCAACTTTGGCCAAGTTAAGACTTAAAGCTTTAAGGGATAAAAATGCTACCAGAAAAGGACGTTCTCATAAGATTTTTCAAACTTCCACATGATTATGATGTATTGCACCCTCTGTTGGTGTGTAGTATTAACTTGTATTCTTGATCTTCAGGCTGTTAATGTCAGACATCACAAAGTTGGGGAAATAGATGAGCCTGCAATTTATAGGATTAATGATGACCTGGTAATGCCACCTCTTATTCATTATGTTAGCTGCTGTTTTTACTATGGGTTTACAATTTGGATGTATTTGAGTATTTTAGTGGGTTTACCTTTTTAGGATTTATACAACGCTTCCAAAAACATATTTTTTAGCAGTGTTTTTTTGCCTACACATCAACTTTAGATGATTTAATATTAATGTTATTAGTTTGTAATAGTAGTGCCTGAGGGATGTCTCTTGTAAATATGTAAATCTTGTAAAAAAATATATATGATTTTCAATTTTTTTTGCCGCTACAAATTTGTCGTTGCCAAAAAGTAAAGCTTTCTCGACAAACAATTTGTCGGTAAATGTGTAGTCAAAAGTTTATTTTTGCCCACTCATATTGTGTTGTTAAAAATGTATTTTTTGCCAATGCCAATTTGTCGTTGCCAAAACTAAAGCTTTATCGACAACTAAATCGTTGGCAAATGGCAACATTTATCGACGTAAATGTGTCGCTAAAAGTTACTTTTGCCCACTCATATTGTGTCGGTAGAAGTGTATTTTTTGCCAATGTCAATTTGTCGTTGCCAAAAGTAAAGCTTTAGCGACAAACAAATCGTCGGCAAATGGCAACATTTACCGACGTAAATGTGTCGTCAAAAGTTTACTTTTGTCGATGCATATGTTGTTGCTAAAAGTATATTTTTTGCCCATGCAAATTTGTGTCGCGAAAAGTGCCACACAATCATCATATTTGAATGACTTTTACCAACGCAAGGTAAATTACCGACGATGGATGAAGGCTTTTATCGACGACTATGTTCGTCACTAAAGGAATTACTTTTACCAACGCAATGATAATTTCGTCGGCAAAAACTTTTGCCAACTCACTTTTGCCTACGGGTTGCCAACGTAGCTTTGTGTGTCGGCAAAACTCTTTGCCAACGAATTTTTCCTTTTAGCAACATATTTTGTTGCGTTGCGAAAAATGTAATTTCTTGTAGTGACACGTGGCCTTTGGCACCGAGTCAGGGTTTCCTAAATTCCCCCATTTTAAAATATTTAGGTGGCGACTCTGTATCTGGCAAAGTAGTCCATGTTTGGCACTTCTTTTCAAAAAATCTGTTTCTCAAAACGATTTGCCGGATTTGGACTCTTTGGTTCAGATTAAGAACCGTGACACAAATTGAGTCCGAACTATAGCGAGGGCCCCCCACGCGGGCGCGTCTACACAAACCCAGTATGGACGCTGCCACGTTGCAGCCCTTTTAGAAAATTACTTCTAACTTTTGTCCATGTTTTTTCTAATTATGAGGTTAAACATCAAGAGTTGCAAGGCGAATTCTTATACAATAGACTTATTTAGAGCAAGAGACCAAGGAACAATATATTAAGGACTAAATGTATGGAATACGATTAATTTAATTCTAGTTCCAAAATTCGATTATCAAGTTTCCAAGTTCCAACTATGTAATAGATAAAATCTATCCT